ATTGCTGAAGCATCTGTAACTTGAGCCATCACCGGCTGCCTTCCAGGGTGCACATCTGCAGGAAGCCGGACTGGGAGCAGAGGCAGAACCTGAACCCAGGTGCCAGACCCCATCCCTCTTCACTCTGCCAGTGGTCGTGTTCCCTCTTTGAACCACACACACACACTTTGGCCAATCCTAAGACTTACATGTTCTTTTTCCCGTTATTGATCTACTGTCATGAGATTGGGTAACCTTTTGAAAAGATCAGAATCTCAGACAGCAAAGCATCACTCTGCAGCTTCCTTACATGGAAAGGAAGCCACTGAAGCAATATTTCTTTGATGCCTTTAGAGATGATTATAGTGAGAATGGAAAGCTTGTACTCTCCTTCAGGACTTGCCAAATAAGACACCTGGAAGGTCAGGGTCTGTTGAACTCCAGGTCAAAAACACCGAGAGGAGAGAAAAAGGGGCAGGGAGGCTGGGCATGGACCTGCACCAGAAGCACCCCAGCTCCGGCTAGGGCAGCTCAACCAAGGGCACAGTTTAGCTCCTTCCCTCCCCCTTCTAGAACAAGTGTGCATAGAAACAGCAGAAGGACCTGGGTGCGTCGTTTGCAATAAACATCACTTAATGAGGACATGAAGAGTGAATGGTTTTGTCCCCAACTGAATGAGAATTTTATGTGCCTCTCGGGATTGCAAAGACACTCACAATTGTTCCAAGTCAGCGTGAGTGTTACAGATGTCATCTGTGGGGAAACAGAGAACTTCCTGGAGGCAAGAGGGAGTGCGCAGGTGAACGCTACACTGGCTACCCAAGCAGGGTGGGGAAAGGGGTCAGCTGGGCAGAGGGGAGGTGAGGGAATGGGAAGAGATGGAGGGTCAAAGAAAGCGAGGATGGTCACCCAAGCAACACCTAATCCAGAGCCTTGTGCAATGTGGGAAGTTTGGGGAAACGTGAGAGAAACTTGACTGGTGGGACATGGCTCTCCAGCATCCAGGGACACTGAGGGACAGGGCTGTGACTTCCAATATGTGTAAAATGAAAGGATGGACTCCTCAGGAAGTCAGTAAGGGCTGCCTGAGACTGGACTCGACAACACAGCCAGGAAGGCCCAGCAAGGGTGTCTCAAGGACTTGACTCTTCAAACCTAGGTGGCAGAATAAGCTCCCAGGGTTGAGCCTGTTAAGGGCAGGCATGCTATGGAAGGTGGCTGAACTGCATGTCTTCAAAAATCCCAACAACTCAAGAGTTTATAATGAGCCTTCCTCTCATCTTCATAAAAGGGCATTTTTTTTTTTTTTTTGCTGCTGCTGCTGCTGCAGATACCTGGGTGTCTCGTGGGTGACTGCTGGCAAGCTGAACCAGCACACTCGTATTCTTAATCCAGACAAGTTGTCTTGGGCCAACACTGCAGTACAGCCAGTTAAACCACCACCTGTCACGCCAGCAGCCCATGTGGGTGCCAGTTCAAGTCCCAGCTGCTCTACGTCCCATTCAGCTGCCTGCCAATGCACCTGGGAAGGCAGCAGGAGATGGCTCAAGTGGTTGAGTGCCTACCCCAACCCAAGCCATTGTGGTCATGGAGGAGTGAACCAACGAATGGAAGATCTTTCTGTCTGTCTCTCCCTTTATAATTCTGCATTTCAAGTAAATAAACAAATACACAAAATAAAATATTAAAACATTTTTTAAAAAAACGAGTAAAGATAAGTGGTCATGAGGACATGCCTGAAGAGAAATTGGGAGGCCGGGGTAGGACTGCACGCTCCAACTCTGACAACAGGAGACAGTCTTCCCAGCCTGGGGATCTGAGCACAGCTTGATGGCTGCGGCAGCTGTCAGCAGAAGGGAGACCAACGCCATGGGGCAGTGCTGTGTGCTTTCCCTGCAGCTGGCAGTCAAGGGTCTGGGGAAAGGGGTGTTTTTATCTAATGTGCAAGAGCCCTGCCTGAACAAGTTGCAGAGCCCTGGCCTTGAGTTTCCTGTCCAGACAGGACTGCTGTGGGGACAAAGCCCAGGCCCCTTTATAAGATTCAGCTCCTGCTGACATTCCCCAGACTGACAGGATGCCAGCAAGTGCAAGTGTACTGGGCAGGAGAGTTCCCTTCAAATTAGCATCAATTATTCGTGCTCCAGACGCCAGCAGTGCTGCCCTCAGTTTGAAAAGCTGAAAACTCTGCACATTTGCATGCAATCAAACAGGCCATTATCAGCCCCAGCAGACAGAGACTTTAGGCCGGGTTGGCATAACAAGGAGGCATTCATCCCTTAGGTATTAGTAATAGGACCTGGCTCCCAGAAAAAGCTGACTGCTTGGGAAGGGGGGGAAGTGCGGAAGAAGTGGGGGAACAGATTCTGGCTGTGCCCAAAGCAGTGTTCTCAAGACCCAGTAGTCTCTCCTTGTTCCCCAGAACACTCCCAAAGGCCCTGGGAGCCACCATGACAAACTCTGGCAAAAGACGCCCCCCACTAAGCACACCTGACTTCTGACCTCACAGGACCTGGATTGGCAGGCAGTGAACCATCCAAAAGCCGGCATGAATCACCTCCCAGGAGATGAGTCATTGTGCTGGCCAGCCAATGAGGGAGCTTCTGGCGTGGGTAAACACAACCTGATTGGTTGAGGGCAAAGCAGGCCCTGTCTTTTCAGGTAAACCACTTGGGACCAGGAGTTTCCTCTGGAGCTGGAAGGAGCTGGTGCCTGGACACTGATTAGGAATAACTGGAAATCCCCTGGGAGACAGGCGAGTACCAAGCCCAGAGCAGAGCATAGTACAGATGCTCCAGAGAGCAGACACAGCCCCTCCCACTTTGTCTCCAGAAGACAAAGCACCCAACCTCAGTGTCAGGTTCTCCTTTTGAAAATTCTGTCTTCACCTCCCACTTCATCCGGTTAAACAAGAGTGTGCCATTGTACTCTGAGGACTAGGGAAACAAAGATCAAAGACGCTCTCAAGGGCGGGCTGTTGGTGCAACCATTAAAGCAACGCCTGGGGTGGGCATCCCACTGCAGAGTGCCACAGTTTGAAACCAACCCCCTGCATTGTGAAGGCAGGACCCTGTCTGGTGTCTGTCTCCCTTAGCCCAGGCTAGGCTAGAAGATGCACTGAATGGAGACAGGGATCCAGCTTCCCCCATAAGGTTCTCATCACTAGATTCAAGTAGACTTACCTGGTCTCCAATAGGTGATAGCTACCACCCACAGACCAGCTTGAGCCCACCCACCTGGCCATCCTTAACTCCCTATGGAGCACAGCACCAGTGAATCACGAGAGCAATGTCACAAACACCACTGACCAGCCAGGAGCTTGGACAACAAACTCATCATGCACTTCTCAACCCCAATTTCAATCAATAAAAATCTTCACCCCACAATTCCTTGTTCAGCCCAGGAGTTCAGCAAGAGCTACCCAGCTTGGGGGCGTTGTTGGGTAATAAGTTCAAGTCCCAACTCCACTTCTGATCCACCATCTTGCTCATGGACACTTCGAGAGGCAGCAGGGGATGGCTCAAGGACTTGGGTCCCTGGCACCCACATGGGAGATCCAGATTGAATCCTAAGCTCCTGGCTTTTGGCTGGCCCAATCCCAGCTATTCTGGGCATTTGGGGAATAAAGCAGGATGGGAGCACAGTCAGTTTCTCTTTCTGATTCTGCCTTTCAAATGAATATATAAATAATAAGTCCATAAAATAAGCTCCCAAAGACTTGTTTCATTCCTAGGAGTTCCTAACAGTCACCCCAAACCCCACGCCCATTGCTTGGTGTGGGGACAGTGAGGCACCTTCTCCTGTACCTCACTGAAGGTAAGAGCGTGAACCATGGAGCTGGTGCCATGGTGTAGTGAGTTAAACCTCTGCCATGGTGCTGACATCCAATATGGGCACCGGTTCGAGTTCTGGCTACTCCACTTCTGATCCCTGTTAATGTGTCTGGGAAAGCAGCAGAAGATGGTCCAACTCCTTGGGCCCTTTCACCCACATGGGAGACCCAGAATAAGCTCCTGGCTTTGGATCAACTCAACTCCAGACATTGTGGCCATTTGGGAAGTAAACCAATGGATGGAAGTATTCATCTTTTCTTCTCTGTAAATCTGCCTTTCCAAATAAAGGAAGTAAAGACATCTTTAGAAAATAATAATGAAAGAGTAAACCAGTGGGCTATAGAATGGTAAGTCTGAAAACCAAGGAAAGAAACCATAGATTCCCTCTCTCCTCAGTTTGAAATTCACCTGGGCTAATAAACAGTTCTAGAATACAGACTGCCTTTGCCACTTCCACACTTGGATGTATTTCAACATGTGGCTTTCCAACCCTCATCAAGCTGTGCTCAGCTACCCCTGAAGAATAAGTTATCAGTGGGATGGATGATGTGGAGAGGGGTCAGGAGGTCTTCACAGCCTTGTCGGGGGTCACAGGGCAATACAGGTGGCCTAGCCGGGAGAGGAGGCATCCATAGCCCCACAGGGCAGAGATGGGAGCTCTACAGCCACAAACCAAGGATGCTTCCAGCAGCCAGGAGACACCAGGCAGATCTTCCCCTTGGAGTCTGGGGCAGGGGCACAGCATTGCCAACACTTGCCCTGTGCCCAGAACCAGGGATGCGTCAATGCCTGTTGCTTTGCAGCCGGTTGTTCACAGCAAGGCAGCCCACTTCAGGAGCGTCCTGACACTCACCATGCTCCCTCAGCTTTCCCAGCTGCCAGTAATTCTCCTTCTTGCTAATTGGCTGAGAAGAGCCTGGGCTCTCTCCTCCAGATTCTCATAAGCTGTTATAGCAGTGCAGGCAGACAGATGGATAGAGACCTGCTACTCATCCATCCAGAACAGAATCAGAGCTGACCCCACTGGAGCCCAAATGGCTGTCAAGAGGCAAGGCTCCTGGGGGAGTCCGGCACTAAGCAACCAGAGGAACCTCGGAGGTGGGGCACGTGTTCCCCCAGACACAAGGGCATGACACAAGCCCTTTTACAGCTGCACCCCAGCCGACCATCCTTGAGCCAGACTCCACTCACCTGCATTCCCCCAAAAGAGCTGTTACACGGGAGGCTGGGAAGGGATGCCCGCTGGCAGCGCTGTTCCCCACTGCTCAGAGCCCAGGAGTTGGCAAAGTCATAGGGGTCTGATGTCAGGGTCCCTGTAAAGTAAAGTTTCGGTTATTCCAGGACTTCTCAGTGAAAATTCCAGGCCGGTTGTTCCCCACTCCCCCAATCTGACCTCTACAAAATTAGACAGCAAGGGCATCCAGGGCCTGGGAAGCTGCTTTTTGTACCATGCTTAGCATACCACCACAGGCCTGGGACTCAAAGCTCAGTAAACACTTGGTAAGGGCTGGCTGGATGGATGGAGAGATGGACGAATGGATAGTGAGAGTAACATGACAGGCAGTGAAATGACATTGTTACAGGATGTGAGCGAGATCACACTAGACATATCTAAGGTTTTATTTATTTTTATTAACCAAGCTTGGTGATAATAGAACATACTAGAAATAGCAGATCACAAGTCCATACGGCAATCCACCCAGTCATAATCCAAAGGGGAACAAATGGTCATTACCCGTAAGTCCATCTGTTGAGCTGAAGACCTATATCCCAGCTTCTCCAATAATATAAGTTATCCTAAGAGATATCCAACGAATAACCTGGACACACTTCCAAAGCTGCAGACATTCACCTTTCCCTGGCTTCTCCGCACACATTCCACCACTGCTAGACCTCCCCTCTCCTGGAACTCCTTGATAGTACACAAACCAGAAACAACATTACTGTATCCATTGTCCCATCTAAGCAGTACACAGGGACCATGCTAGGGGATTACCTGTCCTGGGTCAGCCAAGAGTTGAGGTGCCAGAGTAACGGAAACACCTGACCAGAAAGAGAGTGAGCCGCAGCTTCATGGGCCTTTTAAAGGGGCTTGTGAGGGGCGTGGTTACACAACAATGCAATACCCCTTCTCTCCACAGCCTGAACATCCCACTACCAAAATTCTCATTTCCTTTTGAGTTGATATTCTTTATGTCAACTGTGAGTTCTTTCATTAAGGCTGTGGGCTGGGTCCCTTATCTCTTTGTTTTTATCTGCGGGTTTGCAGACGCGTGAATCATTTCTGCAGAATGCCGTTCAGGGATGAGGCCATCCTCCAGGGACTCGCAGCAGCTCAACTTTAGCTGTGCAGGCCCTCCCGCCCCGATCAGCTGCACACAGTCTCCCCTGAGAATCTGTGGGAGTGGACAAACCTCACAGGAGTCAGAGGCTCCCATGTATCTTCTTGCAAGAGTCAGTCACTACAGACTGGAAAAGCATTGTAAAGTCCTTCTGAAGTTGAGCTCACCATCCAAAATGAAGAAACGGGAAGCAAGGGTCAGCAGACATAGTAAAGCTCTAAAAACTTCAGATCCTGCACCTTTTAGAGAGAGGCTGCTGTGATGTGAAAAGGATTTGGGCCCCAAACTCCTTCAAAACTTCAAGCCCTAAGGCCACAAGTCAATGGCATTGAGCAGGTGGCACTTAGATGGGGCCTGATGGCAGGTTCTTAAGTCATCAGGTTGAGAAAGGGGTATCCTTGGGAAGGCAGTTCTTTTCATTTTTTTTTCTTAGATGACATTAAACACAAGTGCTACAGGAGAAAAAGCATGATCAAGAGGAAGGCCACACTTTAGCTCATTATTGATCCTGTTAACAATGTAGTGACGTCAGGGCCACCTTCAATGCCAAAGTACAGGTTGTGTCAGCATCCTTAGTTACAAATCAACTCAACAGCACATTTTTCCTCTGCTTTGTCAAGGGACCCTGCAGTGAGAGCGCCCTGGATGAACAACACTGAATAGGGAGTTAAATGCACATAACCCTATTCGAATTTTAAAAATACAGCTAGAATTCCTCCTAAAGTACTTACACAGAGGCCAACACCAATACAAGATTTGTAGTTATGAGATCAGATTCCAGCCACTGCCGTTTTTAAGGTAAACACGCCAGAAAATGACTTTCCTTTTGTTTCGTTTTTTTTTTTTTTTTCTTCTGAAAGAATACTGTGCTAGCCACTGGACTGCAGCTCACTCCACCCCAGGCCAACAGATCTAATTACTGTGAGAGCTTTGGAAAAACAGAGTTATTTAAGCTAAGAGCAACTGTGACTGCCCTATCTTGTAGTTAAGCTGTCATTCACTTGATCTGGCAAAGGCGGTGTTCCCATTACACATCCAGTCTTGAGCGCTGTACCAGGGGCAGGAACACAAGGCCTCGATTTTTGCATGACCAAAATACTGTCCCTTTACACTCCTTGGATCTTCCATGGGGAACTAGATAGCTGCACTGCAAGCTACTCTAACTACACTTCATTTTAATTGCTACAGTCCCAAAGGGGGATGTTTGGCAGATCTCCATCATGTTACTTTAGAGCAGCCTGGAGGGGTTGCGGATGGAATAAACGTCAATTATGCTGACTGAAGTTATAGGCTTTGACTATTAGCTTTGAATAGAACTTTGTCTTTGCATTTTGACCCCAGAATCTAAACTAAATATCAAAGGAAAAGAGTAAAAGCTAGATCCAGAGCAGTGGCATAGCAGACTAATCCTCTATTGGCACCAGTGTCCCATATGGGTTGTGTCCCAGCTGCTCCACTTCTGATTCAGCTGTCTGTTTATGTCCTGGTAAATCCATGAAGGATGGCCCAAGTCTTTGGGCCCCTGCACCCACATGGGGTACTGGGAGGAAGCTCCCAGTCAGCTCAGCTATAGTCATTGGCAATCATTTGGGGAGTGAACCAGCAGATGGAAGACTTCTCTCTGGCTCTCCTTCTCTCTGTGTAAAACCTGCCTTTCTAATAAAATAATAATAAATCTTCTTTTTAAGAAATCAATACTTGGCAACAAAGTCAGATTTGAGGAGCTCCAACGTCAGATTCAACAGGAGGCCTAGGCATGAGGTTGGCAAGACAAGTCAGCGTGAACCTATGGCAAGGCTTGAATGGATTCAGGATTTAGTACATGTTTGTGGGCAAGGCAGTGAACAGCCTTAGCGTGCTTCAGGGAAATGGGCTCCCAGAAAAAACTCACCCTCTTGGGTCCTGAAGTCGTCTTCAGCAAAGATGTTGTAGTTGCCACACAGCCCACAGGTCTTGTTGAAGTATTTGTCTGACAGTAGCACTTCCAAGTTGCCATCGCCGTCCACTCTGGCCGTAAAGCCGTATGCCTCGCTGGCCAGCTTGTGATACCCAGCTTCAGTTTCCAGATACAGCCCATTGGAGGCATAGGGCAAGGAGACTCTGCAAGGCAAAGAATAAGCTCGGAAGGAGCTTCTCCTGCACTTTCCAGATGCATTCCCCACCTTACATGATTGTATCAGGTGGTAGGAGACCCAGCCCAGCAGTGGGCACACCTGGCTCTCTCCCAGAGACAGCACCTGCTCCTCGCATACTCTGGACACACCCCAGTCTTCTCAGCTGAAAACCAAGGAGCGGGGAGCGGATGTAATCTCCCCAGGGTGTTTTCCAAGTTGGACTCTTCAGGCCTCTGACTTACCTTTGGTCACCCTGCATGGCCGTGCCATTGACAAACAAATGCACGTCGAAAAACTCGCCCAGATACACAGAGAGGCCCACTCTCTGGCCATTTTGGAAGTTCCCTGAAAGATGAAAGAGTCAGTGTCAGAGATGATGACCAAAGAAAAGATGTTTAAATGTATTAATGATCACATCACTATCATCTCAACAGGACACTTCCCCAAAGGACTGAACAACGGTCTATAAAAATATCCTGAAAAGAAAAACTGTCCATAGGATATTTCTGTCTCTTTATAAATCTATCTTTCTAATAAAAAATAAATAAATCTTAAAAAAAAAAGCCCCTTCCCCCACCCCCGGCACGATGGCTCAATTGGCAATCCTTCCCCTTCAAGCACCAACATCCCACATTGACACCAGTTCGTGTCCCGGCTGCCCCACTTCCCATTCAGCTCTCTACTTGTGGCCTGGGGAAAGCCCAAGCCCTTAAGCCCCTGCATCCACATGGTAGGCCCAGAAGAAAGTCTTGTTCCTGGCTTTGCACCAGCTCAATTCTGGTCACTACAGCCATTTGTGGAGTAAACCAGAGGATGGAAGATTTGTTTCTATTTCTCCTTCTTTCTGTAACTCTGCCTTTTAAAGTAAGTAAAATAAATCCTTTAAAAACAACAATATTTTTGTTATATTTGGGATACAGTGTGACACACATATTTAACCCAAAATGATGATTAGTTAACATTTCTGATGTTTCACGGCGTGCCTCACAGATGAACGGCACAGTTCTGCCCCCACTGCACTGGACCACTCAGCCCTTGACAGCAAGGACAGTCCCCCGGGTGGTCTCCCCTTCTTGTAGGCCCTCCCTCTCACAGAGATCCTAAAAGGGTGGGAACAAGCAACGCAGGAACTGGGTGGCTGGAGAAGAATGGGGGAACACCTCAGGGGCAGCCACGAAGCTGGGGACCAACCAGCACCTTCCTCTAGCTACAGGTGTTGCAGGTTCTCTCTCTCTCTCTCTCTCTCTCTCTCTCTCTCTCTCTCTCTCTCTCTCCCAATGTGTTAGGATCTGGCGCTGTAGCATACCAGGTAAAGCCTCCACCTGTGCCACCAGCATCCCATATGGGTGCCAGTTTGTCTCCTGGCTGCTCCACTTGCAATCCAGCTTCCTGCAAATGCACCTGGGAAAGCAGGAGAAGATGACCCAAGTGCTTGGTCCCCTACTTACCACCTGAGCTAGTAAGCCAGATGGAATTCCTGTCCTCTTGCCTTTGGCCTGTCCCTGCCCAGGCTATTACAGGCATTTGTGAGTGAACCAGTGGAGGGGTGAGTTCTATCTCTGTTGCTCTCAGGCTTTCCTTAAATTTGGTAGCTAACAAACAGGGGAGCCAGGAGAACTATAGAAGAGGGTATAGGAACCCAGCCTTTCCAGGTGAATAAAGAAGCCTGGCCAACTGGTGAGTGGTAACAAGGCCTCGGACCCACAGTGCAGTCAGAGAGTTGGAAGGACTTGCTCCCGCTAGCCCAAGATCAGCACATCTCAACACGTCTCAGAGGCAGCCAGCCAAGCCATGCCGATGCTGAACCCTGGCTGCAGCCTGCCCTGAGAGTCGGTGGGGAGGGATCAGCTGTCCCCAGATCCTCACCTGCTGCAAAAAATGGGAACTCCTGAGTGGGGGGGTTGCCTCATGGTAAACAGCTCCCACCCAGCCATTCACCTCACCTGACAACAGACCAAAAAGCCCTCAGCAAGCAGTAAACTGCACTGGGTATGGGAATGGTCAAGGGAGCATGCAGAGCCGCAGACCCACATCCAGGCCACGGCATGGCAAGGAGATTCTTCAAGTGGGATCTGGAGACGTGTGCAAGGTGGACTGACATACCAAGGCAGCTGGAGGGACCCTGCCTGTCAGCTGCAGAACACCTAAAGCTTATTGCCAGGAATGCATAGTGAAAACACCAGAGCTCCATCTCACACACACACGCACACACGCATACACGCACACACACATACACAGAAAACGTACCCCAACCTTGTGCTACACACCCTGATGTTTCTATTTTCCACACCTCACGTGGCCGGACAACAGGGTCCAGGTGCTCATGCCACACAGAGACCACACTGGGTGTGGTGAAATAATGAGCAGCAGCCACGGCCTGGTTGTGACCACCCACAATGTCTTCAGACACTGCTAAATGCACTCCGAGGGGAAAGTCACCAAGCCATTAACACGGAGCGCGGCACACACCCAGTTTTTCTGGCTGTAAATGCAAACCTCCATTTGTGGCATAAAGCTGCCCAACAGGGCATCTGGGCTCTCTGGACTCGGCTAATCCCAGTGCACACAGCACACACCATCAGCCTCTGGTGTCTGCTTCCTTCCCTTGTGGGTAACTAACAGCAATTGAGTAAAAGGATCCAATATAGGCTGCAGAGACCCTGAGGGAGTCCCAGACCCCCAGGTTAGCGCCTCCTGTTATTGCCGAGTGTGGAGCCAGCAACAGCTGTCCAGCGAAGCTCTAGCCCAGGCCCTCCCCAACCTACCACCCCAGGCTTTGCAAGAGGAGTCTGCCCCCACCCCCGGGGCTTGCAGGAGGCCTGGGCACCTGTAGGATCAGCTCCCGGTGTCGGTGTCGTCTGGGCTGGGGTGAAGCATGCAATCACGTGCTGTTTCTAAGTGCACTGCACCCTCTGCACCTGTGATTCTGATCTGGGGCCTCTGAGAGTGATGATCTATGCTGGCCATGCCCTTGAACCATGCTGGCAGCAAGGCTTCTGGGTCCGCGGAAGTGACTCAGCAAGTCGCTGATTGTTTGTGGCTCCTCTGGGTGGGTTTGGAGACCAGATTCGGCAGTTCCTGGCTGATCAAAAGCAGGACCCACACAGCAGCCAAGACTTTGAACCAAAGTCATACATGTCTTTAAAGGTCTGTCTCTCTGTTTTTCTTTCTAGATTCTATGTGGGCTGATGGCTTCGCCTTGACCCTGGGTTCTGGCTGACCAGGAGCAGGGATCAAGGAAAGGGACTCCTTCAGCACCAGGTGGGCCCTTGTGGAATGACATAAATGCTTCACTCAGGACGTGAGTGGGTCCCCAGGCACTTGAAAAGGAATGTCAATTGCGGAAACAGGATGTCATCGAAGAACAATGGAACAGACGTGGCTGGATCTGTGTGCAACTGAAACTACAAGGTCCAAGTTCTAGGCTCCTCTCCAAGCCCCTGCCTCTGGCCTCCTCATTACCTTGCTTCTCCCAGCACCTCCTCCTCTCACACCCTCATTATCCCCCAGCAACAGCAGAAAAGGCAACCACTCATCATCATCGTCTCTGAGATTAGCTGCAGATTTGGGGGAGTAGGGCGGGGAAACAAAACCAACCTACATCAAAGCGTATACAATCTTTGCACAGCCTCGTTCAGGCCCATGACCTCCTGAAACAAGGGAAGGATCCAGTGCCCAATGAGGAATGTCCCTAAGATACTTCCAGAAGGCAGGACTTCCCAAGCCCTTGGAGTTCCCCCTGTGATCACTGAAGCCAGAGAAGCCAGGCCTCTGGTGCGGACCTGTGTAGACAGATGGATGGTGAATATGTGGACACCACTGATGTCACCTGACCATGGGAGACATGTATGACCCAAGCACATCGGGTCTTTATGGAGCACTTACTTAGCAGGTAAACACTCTGATTCAGGTGGAGATAACGCATCGCACTTTCAGCTCATCCCACTAGACCTTCACGTGTCTCTATTTTAAAGACGTGAACATGAGGCAGGCATTTGACACAATGGTTAGCGTATCACGTGGATGCCCTAGTTCCTGGGCTCTGCTCTCAATCCCAGCTTCCAGCTATTGCACACCGTGAAAGGCTTAAATACTTGGGCCTGGCCCCTGCCACCTAGGTGGGAAACCCAAATGAACTTCCAGGTTGCTGGTTTCAGCCTGGCCTGGCCTCAGTTGTCGTGGACACTCTAGGAGTGAACAATGCAACACCAATCTCCAGCTGTTGCCTCTAAAGCAAGATGGCTATCTGGATGTGTCTTCCTCAATGTCCAGCACCATGGGAATGTCTCTGGCCCTTTTTGCCTCCTAGCCAGTTAGCATTGCCAAGGCTCTACTATCTCTATACCGCCTCCTCTCTGGACCATCTTGGCCTAGCACCAGTTCCCTCTGGGTCCTTTCCTGCTGCCCAAGACCCGAATCTCCACACACTCTCCATCAGCCTTCACACACCTGCCTCACGCTCTAGCCCAGCCTTATATGCTATACTTCTCAAAGTTTCATTTCCTATGCAGCAGCAGCAATAGCAGCAGCTGAAGAGCACCCAACAGAAATGAAATTTCCAGGCCTCTTTCCAGACCTACGGAGTGAGAATTCCAGGGCTGGAGCCCAGCTGTCTGTCTGTTACTAACTCTCTGGGTGGTGCTGATGCCCATGGAGCTTGGGAGCCAGTGCACCTGCCATATGGATGTCCGCTTTGGCTTCAGGCCAGAAGCGCAGAGGCCTCCCAGCCTCTTCCTCTGTCTTGCACTGTCCCTGCTGCTCTGCACTCCCCATCCCCTAGTCCTTTGCACCCAAGTAATCAGCCTCTGGGCACACTGCCCCCTCATGTGAGCTCCTTCCCCCTGAAGTCCCCACCCACATTCTGTACCAAACAAGATCCCAGTAAGCTCTGAACCAGGAAGTAGAAATGAAAGGGTCACAGCCTTGCCCTGAGGTGTGGAAGAGTAACAGGGACACCCACAGTCACTCTAGGTGGGAGAGATTTCCCAGCACAAAGGCAGGAGGCAGCCAGGGCTTAAAGGAACAGCTCGGGGGCAGGCTATGCCATGGCCACTGTCAGCTCACTGAGCTCCCACACAGCCTAGCCCAGTGTGGGGCACACAGACAATGCTGCTACCTAGCTAATTCAGTAATAACCCTAACAGCCCTGAAGCCTTTACATCCCACAAAAGTCTTGCCCAAACTTGAGTCAGGATCCTTGGAGCGTTCTCCCATGTCAGGTCTTGACCTTGGGCTCTGTCTCAGGCCTGCTGAATCCAGATTCAGCAAGCACCCTGACTGGGTGAGTTTAGTAATCCCCACCCAGCCTGGACATCTGGTCAAATTCCCTTGGCTCCTGTCCTCCAGATCTGACCACTCCGGCTTGTCTCAGGTAAGAACCCTTTCTGGGGTACAATGCAACATGCATCCCTGCTTCCAAACAAAAATTGGACTCCCAATGAAACTGTTGGAAATGTTTAGACAATGGGATGCTGGACTGTCTGACATTGTCTGTACCAGCAATGTCGGGGCACACCTAAATAAGAGACTGATGGAATTATGACTCCTTATGAAGGACTATACTATTGAAGCAACATGGGGAAAATTTCCCAGGGGATGGGAGTTTGGGGGGGAGGGCAGTGAATCCCAGTCTATACGAAATTGTACAACAAAATTCAAAAATTTAAAATAAAAATATAACAACAAAAAAGAACCCTTTCTGGTTGGTTGAACCAGGATCTCCCTTGCCCTCATGTTGCCTTTGGATAATTTTCCATCCTTGGCATCTCTACACTTGCCCTTTGACTCCAAATCCCCACTTTTCTCGGTTAAAAGTGAGGTAGGGCCCCATGTCTTTCCCAGGTCGCAACCCTTCCCTGCTGTAGTTCTCCCTCACCAGCTTAGACAAAATCCACGGACATTTGTTCTTCACCTTCCTGGCTCTGTCCATGGTCATCTCAGCCTCCTGGGTCCAGGGTCCTCTGCTGGCGTCTGGAGCATCCGTCCCTCACACCTCACACTCAGTTGAGTCATGTTGACGGTGCACTCTCCACATCAGAATCCTCCCTCCCTGCCTGCACCCCTCCTGCAGACTCAGGACACTGCCTTATCTCCAAGAGACCCAGGGTGAAAGCCCAGCTCCCTTCTTCTGTTATCTGCTGGGCCTTGGGAGCATGATGCAACCTCCTTAGGGTCCTGGTTCTTGGTAAAATCACAGTGACTACAGCTACACCACAGAGCTGTGATGGGGAAGCAGTACCAGTACTTCTTTGGGAAGCGGCAGGTGCACAGTATCCACTAGGTATTCTCAATCCCACTGAGAAGATAAGATTTTTCCCCCTGCTGCAAATAGCCTCCTATGCTCCAAAGGACCTTCTAGTTCATGTTTTTTTCTGAATGATTCCAGTTCCCGGAGTATGCCTGCAACCTAGAGCAAAGGGTACTCCCACTAGAAAAGGGAGAAGACAAATGGCCATGTGTCATAAACAGACCACTCCCCCTCTGTGCTTTTACCCATGGTAAAAGAGAATAGGACCTCTGTGAGAATAGGCTCTCTCTCCTGTGCACCAGGGCCCTGAATTCCGCCCCCTCAGTACCCAGTACTCACCGAGCAGTGAGAAGGAGCGTTCCTGGCAGTCCCCTGCCAGCAGGTAGCTGCAGTCTCCAGCAAAGCTATACAGGCTTCCATCAAAGGTGTTGATGAAGTCACCTCCAAAAAAGCTGCATCGGGCCATCCTTGGCTGGTCACCAGTCATTTCTGTGCAGAGGGTCCCTGGAGGGGGAGGCCACCAGGTAAGCACCTTGGAACCATCAAGCCCAATCTCACTGACATTGAAAGAATACGGATGCATATGATAGAGATTGCGCTTGGGGTCAGCACTGTGGCATAGCAAGTAAAATTGCTGTCTACAATGCCAGTATCCCATATGGCCACTGGTTCAAGTCCCAGCTGCACCACTTGCAATCCAGCTCCCTGCTAACGTGTCTGGGAAAATGGTCCAAATGCTTGTGCACCTGCACCAAAGTGGGAAGACCCAGAAGAAGCTCCTGGCTCATGGCTTCGGCCTGGGTCAAGCCCCAACCAATATAGTTTGTGGAGAGTGAACCAATGGATGGAAAATCTCTCTCTGTCTTTCCCTTTCTTTCTATGTAACTCTGCCTTTCAAATAAATAAATTAGTAAATAAATCAATAAATAAGAAGGAAATTGGGTTGTGAGGAGGTTCTTTTCCTCTAAAAGAGACTAAAGCTGTTTCATTCAGCCCCTAAATAAAGCCCAGATCTCACAATAACAATGAAAGAGATTTCTCAAGAAAGTTATGTATTTTGACATTTAGGAGACTACTTCAAAAAGTTCATGTGAAATAGAATTTAGGGCCCAACACAATCCTTCAATTGGCTAATCCTCCCCCTACAAGCACCAACATCCCATATGGGAAGATTCTGCCCTACGTGTGCCACTTCCCATCCAGCTCCCTGCTCATGGCCTGTGAAAGCAGCAAAGGAGAATAGCCCAAAGCACTGGGACCCTGCAGACCCATGTGGGAGACCTGGAAGAAGCTCCAGGCTTCTGACTTTGAAACAGCCCAGCCCCAGCTCTGTGGTCGTTGGGGAGTAAACCAGCAGATAAAAGATCTCTCTTTTTGACTCTTTCTCTCTTACTTACTTTCTCTCTGTGTAAATCTGCATTTTCAATAAAAAAATACATAAATAAATTTATTGAAAAGGCATATTAGATTTACAGAGAGGAGAGAGAGAGAAACAGAGAAAGAGAGAGAGAGAGAATCTTCCATCCTCTGGTTTATTCCTTAAATGGGTGTAACGCCCAAAGCTGAGCCAATCCGAACTCAGGAGTTTTTTCCTGTTTTCCCACACAAATGCAGGTCCCCAAGGCTTTTTTCTATTGCTTTTCCAGGCCACAGGCAAGGAGCTTGGAAGGGAAGTGGAGCTGCCAGGACACGAATCAGTGCCTGTACAGGATTCTGGCACTTGCAAGGTGAGGATTTAGTCATTGAGCCATCATTCTCAGAGCAAATAAATGCATCTTTAAAAAGAAGAAGAAGAAGAAGAAGAAGAAGAAGAAGAAAGAAATGAAATCTATGACCCAACATTCAGCAATTAGCAGAGGAAATACTCCAAGATCTTTGCACTCAGTTTGGCAGCCTGCTGACAACTGTACATGTTTGACAAATTTGTTATCATCCTGTGCACACAATTCATAATCTCTGTTTATTTCTCAATCATATTGTAAATGTGTCATTGTATATACTTCCAAAATGTGTGTGTGTGTGTGTGTGTGTGTGTGTGTGTGTGTGTGTGTGTGTACTGGCAGGTGGGGAGTCCCAGCAGCAAATCTAAGTGTTTTGGGTCTCCCAACACAGACCCTGCCTGATAGGAAGGTACAGACGGTGTGACTGCAATCATGCAAAACTGATATTCAGAAGGGAGACATGGGAGGGGAAGTCCCAAAGCCTTTGGAATTGTATCCTAAAATAAATTAATTAAGTTACAGAGAGAGAGAGAAAGTGAGACAGCTCTCACCCTCCAGGCCGCTCCTCAGAGGCCCACAATACCCAGATTGGAACTCAGTCCCAGACTCTGCATGGCTGAGAGGGACTCGATCACTTCAACTGTCACCTGCTGCCTCTCAGAACACATATCAGCAGTCAACTAGAGTCAGGAGTGGAGCCGAGCAGCAAACTCATACTCTGAATAAGAAATTCAGGCATCCTAATCTCAAGGCAAAATGCACACCTCTCAGCATTTTCTTCTATGCCAATGAGTTGACCAGGAACAAGCAGTTTCAGGATGGGACCAATCTCAGAAAAGACCAAGGCAGAAGGATTATAGGAATGGGATGTTGAAAAGAGAGATATGAAAGGTTAAGTTGACCATAAGCAGCCAATGATTTCCTCACCCACACCTAGGTTGTGGAGCATCCATATCAACCCCAAAGGGGCAGAGCTTCTAGAGCTTCCTGGGAGATGGCCATGTGGAGGTTCCGGGGGTCCCAGGTGTGCCTGGAGGGGGCCTGGCTGTACCACCCCAATTCCCCATCCCTTGTATGCATCTCTGAGATGTGTCCTTTGTAACACCATTAGGAATAAACTGGCAAATGTCTTTGGCTTGACTTCTCTGAGCTATTCCAGGAAATAACTGGTATGTGAGGTTGGGGGCAGGGGAGGCCTCAGTCTCGGGCCCTGTCTCCAGTGGACTGTGTCTGAATAGAACTGGATTCAAGGACCCCCGGTCACTGACTACATCTCAGCCAGGGAGGGAGGGCCATTCAGGCCATGCAGAGCAGGCCTGGGACCCAGAAGAACTGACCCCTGACCTTGGCACTGCACACATATGGAGCAGCCATTTCTCTTTGCTGACCCCTCAGCTGCAGCATGGAAGGCCAAATTGGGGACCTCCATATCCTTTCTAAACAGAGCATCTTGCCAGGTTTTGGAGTCCTTCATCCCCATGCTATGCCTCCATGACACTTCCTTTTGCCTATTTATTGTCCCAGAAGAGAAGGCATTTGCAACCCCTCTAAACTTCCCCAAGGGCTGATCCATGTAGCTGGCCCAGCATGAGCCGAGTCTAGGGTTGGAGCCTCTGGTGAGCTGCAGACACACCTGCAGTGCTGGTGCAAGAGTACGGACTGGAAGTCCTTTGGAACCTACCTGGCAAGACGAGGGTCCAGGCCAGCAGCACCCTTGCAAGTCTGATCCGAATCATCTGCAGAAAGCAAGAGAGATGACCAGTTGGACAAGCTGTCGGTTTGTACTACTGTTTGTGCATGCCACAGAGAGAAAACACATGGCTTTAAAGCAAGAGAAGAGACTGGTCCTTGCTGATCCCCATACCTCCTCTGAACGTGGACTCAGCCAGTGCCAGGTCCAAGAATAACAACCCCTGTGAGTTGACCCAGACCCCCAGGCATCCTTCCCTGGAAAATGGTCCTGGGACCAAAGACAGAGGAAGGCAGCTCCACTTCTATCTCTCCACACCCCAGGCTACCAGACCACTCTCACCTCCCTGCACCTCTCCAGCAGCTGGGAGCTGAAATGCAACTACAGCTTTCCACACTTGGCCGCAAACTGGGGCCAGGAGCTGTCTTACACTTCTCTTGCTACCATGGACACATATGCTTAAAAAAGGCTCAGGAGCCGCTACTTTGACCACTCCTCAGGCCACCTGCCCTGTACCCAGAGAACCTCCTGAGCCCAGGGCGACACTCACCTCCATCCTGCCCACACAGGGCTAGGTGTCCAGCACCCAAGAGACAGGTAATGCTGGCTGGCTGGGATGATTGGATAAATCAACAGAAGCCCAGCAGCCTTTGGCCTGGGCAGGTTTCCGCAAGGAATAATCGACTCTGGCTGGCAGAGACACCTCAAGTCTTTTTGAGTCCCCTACTGCAGCCCCACCCTCTGGGAATGATTACCTGCAGAATCTGTCACCTGAGATTCATGGGGGAGGAAGCCAAAGGAAGCCACCCAAAAGGGAGATAAACCCAACCCATGACATAGCTGCAGGAGGAATGCATCAATCGATACTGGATGTGGCGGCCATGTCTTGGTCTCAGAGTCAGGTCTCCCCTTCCCCCACCTTTTAACTCCTTCCCAACACACAAATACATTAGGCAACTCCCAGGAAGGATCTGAGGATGAAGCTCCTTCCAATTCCAGCTGAAAGAAGCTTGCCCACTGCATGAAATGAAGCAGCTGCATGGCCCCAGGGTCAAGTGCAAGAAGGGGGCTTTGGGATTGCCTCTGACATTTAGTCCGTCCCTTCTCCACCCCGCCCCCACCACCAAGGTGTCACAGGCCCAGCATCATGGGTGCAGAGATCAGCCTGGCACCTGCCTCCCACCACTGGGCCAGCTCTGCTTCCCTAAGCCCATACCTTCCCCTGAAAATGGGGGTTGCAGGTGTCGCCAAGGTCCCTCAGGGAGATGCAGAGGCTACGTGATGAAGGTGCCACCACCCCTAGGCCATGCTGACAGCTCCAGCTGAGGTTGGATGGGTCTGTGGCAGCTCCCGCCTGTCTTCTTGTTAAGTAGCCTGTGTCCCACAGCAGGGAAGCTAAAGCTCAAGACGTGACGCCCACCAACCACCTCCTTCCCCATCATAGTGGCCAGGGATTGGCCTCTTCTTAATTACCAAAGGTAGACAATGGCAGGAAATGTTATTAGAAACACTGCCAAGCTGATAAACTTTTGGCCAGCTTGGAGGGGGACCTCCTAGAAGGTGCCCTACTGAGCCTGCTTGCTCTTCCCAAGACCCCTACCCCCCCAGCCCTGCCCCTGACCCCCACCCGAAGTTTTCACTGTGGGTGGGGGATATGCAGGGATGCTGACTCTCCAGGTAGGCTGAGCCAGGCCAGGGAGGAAGCCAGGCTGGATCAACACAGCCTCTGGGTCTGGCTTCCAAGCCTGGATTCCAGGGACATTGGGAAAAACACCTCGACCTGAGCCAATTTGGCGGCCATGTGGAGAGGAAGGCTAACACAAACTTCCCATCCGCCCATGGTATGAAGGGGCCAGGACTGGCCCTGAGGACAGTGGGCCATCTGCGTCCCTAGCAGAACTGGGTGGACAGATTAGAGATGCAGGTCCCCTTGACAAGCACAGGCCCTTGTAAACGAGGGGGTAGGGCAGGAAACAGTTGCTCCCCTAGTCTTAGACACACACATACACAATCCTTGCAAACCTCCCATTTCCAAAAGCTTCAGTCTCCACATGTGCCAACCTGATTCCTGCTGGAAGAGGCAGCTGAGCAGCTGGGTGGAGGCCAGGGGAGAGGAAGACAGGACAGGAGGGAGATGACCTTATCATGGCAGGATTCCAGCATCGAGTGACACAGGCAGCCTAAACATCCAAGAAGGAAATCCCACCTCCACTTTTCATGGAGGACCACCTGCTCTAGGACTCTAGGACTCGTCCCCCACCAATGTCACTCCCCTAACCTCCCCAGGAAAGGAAGATGAATAGTCTCTAAGAAGAAAAACAGTAGGGAAGAGATCAGCATTGTAGCCCAGTGGAGGATTGCATCCCACATCAGAATATTGGTTCAAGTCCCAGCTGCTCCTCCTTCGATCCAGCTCCCAGCTTATGTGCCTGGGAGGGCAGCAAAACATAATCCAGGTACTTGGGTCCCTGTCACTCCTGTGGAAGACCTGGATGGAGTTCCCGGCTCCTGACTTCAGCCTGCTCAGCCCTAGCCATTGTAGCCATTTGGAGAATGAACTAGGAAATGGAAGCTTCTCCCTCTCCCTGTCACTCTGCTTTTCGATTAAATAAATGTATCTTTATCAAAGAACCAAAAAAAAAAAAAAAAAAAGTAGTAGAAGAGAGAGAATGCAAAAGGCGAGCTGCTGCCTATGATGAGCACACTCCTCATGCCAGGGCCTACTCCACTTCCAGTGCGGCTGGGAAACGCAGCAGAAGATGGCCTGTGGACCTGGCCACCTGCCGTCCGTATGGGAGACCCCGAAAGAGCTCCTGGCTCAGCCCTGGGGATTCAGGCCATTTAGTAAAACAATAAATGGAAAGATTTCTCTCTCTCTCTCTCAGCTCCAGGCATTGCGGCAGCAGGTGGAAGATCTCCCTTTCTGTCTCCCATCCTCTCTGTACATCTAACTTTCCAATAAAAATAAAATAAGAATATCAAAATAAATAAATAAATAAATAAAATTATTTTTTTTAAAAAAAGAACCTCAAAGAAAGTTTCTCAAAGGGCCTGCCTCAGCCTGTCCCAGATAGATGGGCAGCTTCTCTGCTCTGGTGTGGATTCCACAGGGAAGAGAATTTCCTGGGCAGTCCACTCCAAACAAATAAACAAACAACAGCACTTCTCAAGCCGGACTGACTCCAGCTCCCAGCTCACGGAGCCGAGAGGAAGCCATCACCCCCAGCTTCCTTTCTCCTGAGACACAGATGTCCCGGTCACAAAAGGTTTGCTCACTTCCTTCCATCGCAGTCAGCGCAAGGTAATGAGCAACCCCAGGATGCAATATCAGAAGACCAGCTTCATACTGATTCCACCTTCGCACCAACCAGCACGCCGCCTTGTCACAGCTGAAATACTTGGGACCAGAAGGGCTTTCAGTTTCAGAGTTGCTCAAATTTGACTTTGTTGATCCTCACCCATCCAAAACTCCTGTGCCCAAAGCTTTTTCTTGTTGGCATTCCAGACGTTTCGAACTGGGGCATTTTGATTGCTGGATGTTTGCCTTTAGAGTGTTCCCAGCCTGTTCTGCCTGAGTTTAAGGCAAGACTCAAACCACTGAGGGTTGTTTTTTTTTTTTAAGATTTACTTTACTTTTATTGGAAAGTCAGATATACGGAGAGAAGGAGACACAGAGAGGAAGGTCTTCCGTCCATTGATTCACTCCCCAAGTGGCTGCAACAGCTGGAGCTGAGCCGATCCAGAGCCCAGAGCTTCTTCTGGGTCTCCCACACATGGATGCAGGGTCCCAAAACTTTCGGCCGTCCTCAACTGCTTTCCCAGGCCACAAGCAGGGAGCTGGATGGGAAGTGGAGCCACCAGGGTTAGAACCAGCGCTCATATGGGATCCTGGAGCGTGCAAGGGGAGGCCTTCAGCCACCGGCTACCATGCCGGGCCTATCAACATAGGAGGAATCCTCAATCCTCCTGTTCTAGGACGCAGGTCCCTATATCATAATCAGAAAGTTACCACAACCAAAGGGATATGCATCTTAGAAATGCACAACTCACTAATCAACTTTAAATGTTTCCTGAGTTATCCTTCAATCAAGCAGATACAATCAGTAAGGACAGAGTTTACAGACCATGGTGAAATCCTATAACTTCACTCAGAGGCAAATATTTATCCCAGAGAAGTGGAAAGAGGCTCATAGCAACAAACTCCTAACAGCTTTGTTTAGAATACTCGGAAACGGGAAGCAGCCCAGTGGTGCTACATCGGGTGACTATGTAGACACATTGAGATGAATCTGTACCATGAAATATTATTCAACAATAAAATGGGGGTGGGGAGCAAAGTTGGTAACACACAGCATGGTTGAGTCTCCAGGAAGTTAGAAAAAAAAATTCTCAACATAAATGCAGCCCTGGCATATTTCAAAGACAAAGTGGCATGTAGAATCATACATCTTACACTGTCACCACAATGCATTCACATTGAAAAGCCAATGCTGAAGATACCAACATCTTCGTAACTTTGAAAATTTTGAGACACACTACCAATAAGTCAAGGATCAAAAAAGGAAACGATGAAATTAATTTAAAATCCTCCAAAACCGGACACTGTGAAGACACCGCATGCTGAACAGCATTCAAGGTGTACAAAAATGCAGGTAACTGTGTTCTCTGGGGTCTGGGTTCTAAGAGCTGAAACAAGGGCGCAAGTAGCACCTTCTAATGGAACAACCTGGAAGGCTGTGTACCAGACTCCTGTAAAGCCTAGCGGCTGAAGTCCTCACCTTGCATGAGCCAGGATCCCATATGGTTGCCAATTCATATCCCGGGTGCTCCACTTCCCATCCAGCTCCCTGTTTGTGGCCTGGGAAAGCAATTGAGGATGGCCCAAAACCTTGGGACCCTGCACCCATATGGAAAGCCTGGGAGAAGCTCCTGGCTCCTGGCTTCGAAGTAACTCAACTCTGGCCATTGCAGCCAACTTGGACAGTGAACCAGCAGACAGAAAAACTTTCTCGTTGTGCCTCCCTCTCTCTGTAAATCTAACTCTAC